AGAGAGAGAGAGAGAGAGAGAGAGAGAGAGAGAGAGAGAGAGAGAGAGAGAGAGAGAGGCGTGGGGGAGGCAGGGACAGGGAGGGGGAGGAGAAAGAGACATTGATGTTAGGAATCACAGAGTTTGGTTTTTGTCTCCTCTCATAAAATTGTTTGCTCCTGGGTAATGACCTCATTTCTCTTACCTGTGGAGTGCTAACGCTCAGTCCTGCCTCCAGGTGCTGTTTGTATGGCTGAATGAGGAGAACACTATCCTCACTGGAAAGGGCCATGATTGTGCGGGCAGGCTTCTCCACTGTGTGGGTAGGCTTTTTTGTATCATTGCTCTCCTTGAGTACAGATCACTAGTGTCCAGAAGCTTCCTAGAGTAGTATTCTCTAGTGGCTCTGGTTTAGAGCAAGTGGCCATCTCCCTCTCACCTATAGGTTAGACACCCAGGGACTGCCAGCCTCCTTCCCCTCAGCACAATTGGAGCAAACTTCTGTGGGTCCAGCACTCAATAAGAGTATTCTGTTTTCCATTACTATTACCAAGTACCTGGCAGAACAACTTACAGGAGGGAAGTTGGTTGCTCGTGGTTTTAGGGGATTCAACCTGTCGTGGCAAGGAGGGCCTGGTGGAGCTGTTCACACCCTGGTAAACAGGAAGCAGTGAGAAACAGCAGCAGGAAGGGGCCGGGAGACAATGATGCTCCCAGAGAGATGCCTTTTCCAGCAGACTTCAGCTTTCACAGCCTCCTAGTGGTAGATCTTGAGTTCATGGATGGATTTAACCGTTAATAGGGCAGTCCCCACAGTTTAATCATCTCTGAAAATACCCTCGCAGACATATCCAGAGAGGTGCTTCATGACATCCTAGGTGTTCCTTAGTTGTCAAGTAGACAGTGAAGATGAACCATCCTGGAGAGTCATCTGGGGGTGGAGTCACATGCGGTTCGGCTTTGTGTAGTTTGTGGTCCCCTTGATAAGAACGTACAGGGACTGCACAGGGTATAGGGAGGGCACTGTCCTTCCCCAGGGAAATATACACATTGTTTTAGACTGTTACAAAGGTTTGGATACACGGGAAATCTGCTCTACCTCCTCCTGAGAGAGACCCATTTGAGCTTGTCATTACCATTTGTTTAGTGAGTCAAGACTTCTTTTAAATTTATTTACTTTTACTTTGCATGTGTGAGTATTTGCACACATAACCATATGAGTCCTGTGTGTGTGCTTGGTGCCTGTGGAGGATAAAGACAGCAATGAATCTCTTGGAACTGGAGATCAAGGTGGTTATGAGCTATCACGTGGATGCCGTGTCCTCTTCAGGAGCAAAACGTACTGCTAATCATGGAGCCATCTCTCTATCCCCAACTTTTGAGGCACACTATAAAACTAGAAAGAAACAGATCTGATATAGATATGTGATATCAGCATATGATATAAAGTTGTAACATGAATGCAGCGTTATGTGCCTTAAGTGGAACAGTTATGTATGGATTAAATTTTTACCATATCAAATAACATTTCCCCCTCCTTTTGGCGTCTGAGTCCTCCCTGTACCAGAATCACCAGAATCCAGTGATCTTAAGCTTCTAAAGTTTAAAGGAACAGTGGGTGGGGCTGATTTTTATAGTTTAAAATAACTAGAAAATCCGTGGACTGAGTGTTAAGAATTATTAAACCCACTTGGCCTAATCATTTTTTTAAAGTATTATTTGACCCAGAAACACTGAACACACCTATGGTCCTCATAGTTTCTCCATACCAAACAAGATGAGGTTTAGAGCTTTACAAGGATATTTAGAAACCATTCTGCCCTCGTAGATGGAGCAAGGCTTTAAGAGGCTTGCCTGGAGTCTGGACAGTGGACTCTGTTGAGTAGACTGAATGTTAGAAAACCTGAGCTTGCAGTCTTCACTGTTCCTCCACCCCTCAGCCACTCCCTTACACGTGGCCGTCTCTGACTTCATCACAGCTTTGCACGGAACCTCAGATCCCGCTTCCTACCAGAGTATATTCTCTGTCCAGCACTTTGCACTCCTCAGTCAGGGAGTAATTACTAATTGCTGGAGGGTTGGGGGAAGAGGCACACTTCATTCTTTGCTCAGGCTGCCTTGGCTTAAGCACCTTTTCCTCCATCTTCCCCTCCAGTTACCATCTGACGCACTCCTTCCTCTGCGTGGAGCTCACCTCTGCTTTGTTTACATACCCTTATCCTTTTCTCTGCCATCTGGTACCTCCTTGTTGCCCTCCTGGAACTGCTCCCTCAGAGCAGTGTGTCTCTTTCCCGTTGCTCAGGTGACTCCCACACAGGCTGGGGATTCTCTGCTTTTCTGCCTGCTTCCTTTGGCACCCTTCAGTGTGTGACTTCAGCCCTTGGCTCTGCTCTCACTTCCTTCTACCATAGAGATTGGCCGTCACTCTTGCACTGGTGTCTGCAAAACTGCATCCTGCCAAGGCACCTCAGCTGGTGTCTGCAGCATCTCCCAGATGTCTCTATGACTTTCTTTCTTTCTTTCTTTCTTTCTTTCTTTCTTTCTTTCTTTCTTTCTTTCTTTCTTTCTAACTTAGGATCTTCTTGTTTTATGGAAGAGTTAACGGAATGCCAGGCACACGATTAAGTCAGAGCAGTTCAAGGCGGAACACAGTTAATGATGCTGTTCCTTATGCCAGGAACATCCTCCATCTGGTCAGCTCCTCTTAGACAAGTTGGCTCTGAACCTAAATTCTGCAGCTAAGCTGGGTGCTGACTCCTCTGGGTCCTCACTATTATGCATTCTCCTTGCTGGCCCAGTAGAGTATAGGCCCCCCCAAAGCCTAAGTATCTGAGAGGTTCACCTGCATCTCCACATGCAGAATGCAAGGCATAACACCTAGCAGGTGCTTAGGGATTGCCCCCTTCAGTAACTGAATGGTCTGGTTTGGAAAAACAGACAATAACAATAATACGTATGCAACCTGTAGACCACACCTGGTATGTTTGTTGGCTCTCTGTAAGTTCCAATCTAAACCAGGTTAAATAAACCACAGTGAGCAGCACACAGCAATGTCTAACTTTCTGAGCACTTTGGCTTACAACATCTCTGTAAGTTTGCCGGTGGAAATGTCATTCCCATATTTTTTTAATGAGAGAACCAAGGGATGGGAAAGGCAAATGAAGAGAGTTAAGTCCATCCCAAGACAAAAAAGGGACTTTGGAGCAATGCTTTACCATCTTAAGGTTTTACCTGCTCCCTTACCTTCCCAGAGGTCTGCAGAACAATGTTCATTCCTCTGCAGACTTCTCTTAAAGAGCCGGGTAACTAATATCTGATGCTTTACAGACCAAGTGGTCCCAGTTTAATCAGCTCAGCCATGGTAACACAAAAACATCCATAGAGAGTGTGCGGACAAACTACCATGGCTGTGTTCCAGTACAGTTTTACTTATAAAAGCAAGTGACCAGCAGTGGGCTACACTTCGATGACCCATGCCCTACATGGGGTTGGTGCCAATGGGCAGTTAGCAAACACTCCTTTCCCCTAGCTGGATTGCTGGAGAGGTTTGTGCTTTGGAGTTTCAACTTGTGATTGCTTGTCATTTCCAGATCCTCCCTCAGAGAGAAGAGCAGGCGAGCAAGACCACTTGCCCACCCCGGCAGAACTCACCTCACCCAGCAGGGCTGCTGAGAAGAGAGCAAAGGATGACAGCAGACGGGTGGTGAGGAGTGCACAGGACCTAAGCAATGTGTCTCTGGATGAAGTGGGCATCCCACTCCGGGTACGGATGTGGACCGTTGAGTCCCCAGCAAGAGTGTAGCCTTCATGATGTGTGCCAACCCCTTAGGGAGGGGGTCACAGTGACTTAGAGGAAAGGGTTTCTCTCTGACAGCAGCACAAACCACACCCCAATGGGGGTATCCAGACTTCTCCAAAGTAGGTGTAGGATATTTGTAAGTCTCAAGAGAAAGGGAATGTCTGGGTGGAGCAGGGTAGAGCGACTTTTCTGCAGCAGAACCATGATGGTCTGGGCTGTATGTGCCCCATGGCAAGGCTGGCCCTGTGCTGTGGAGCACGCTCAGACAGGTTTGCTCCAGATTTAGGGGCATACCTAGGAAAGTGAGGCTGTATCTGGGTTCAGGGAGAAGCTCCTTACATGGGAGTTATCCCATCATCCAAGATAACCAGGACAAGGAAACTAGGCAAACCAGGCAGAGGAGGCCCTCCATTGCCTTCAAGAGCAACAGGTTCCTTTCTGAGGCCAGGTGTGCCAATGCTCCTGAGGGCCTGAGGAGCTCAGGGAAGCCTGCCCTTTGCAGCTTTCCACTCCTCTCTGTATGTCCACCAGGCCCCTGGCTGCAGAGGTGTCTTTAGTTTCCAGTTGGAAAGCTGTTTTCCTGTTCTTCCAGAGGAGAGATAGACACATCAGTAGGCTAAGCCTCTGAAGAACTCTGCTTAGATCCTATGTAATAACAGAAAGAGAACCTTTACCAAGAGTGATTGCTGACACCTCTGCTGGCCATTATCTTCTATTGCCACTTGAGTGGTGGAAGCAATGGTCATCCTCATAGGTTGCTAAATCGGTTAGCTTAGCCACACTATTATGGACACTCAGCACAGGCTGCTTACAAAGTAAGGAGAGGCTTACTTGGGCTCATGGTTATAGAGGTTTGTATCCAAAATTGAGCCACCTCCTCTGCAGGGCCCTTTGGCAAGGGTTCCACATTATAGCAAGAACATATGACAAAGCGAGTGCTCACACAGTATGAATGCCTGGGTGGCATCCGAGATCCCTGTGGAGGAGTCATTCTCTGTGCCCTGAGGACCCCCCCCCCCCAACTAGGTCTCACCTGCTAAAGGTCCACAGCACCTCCCAGTAATGCCACCCTGAGAGGCGAGCTGTTAACTACAGAGAACAGATATCCAAACAGCATCAGAAAGGCATTGCCTGTGAGGGATCCCATCACTTTCCAAGTTCTCACAGTGTGTGGGTGGCAGAGTGTCTCCAACTATTGTGTTAGTTGGATCTTCTACTGTTTGACACCTCTGTACTTTAGACAATCCACTTTGACTTTTTCTTCTTAATTTTTTTCATCTATAAAATGGGAATGATACTATCTTATCTAACTACTTTAATTATTTTCATCTTTGAAAAAAGGTCTAGCTCAAGGTAAGCATGAAAACATTGGAATTGGATGCCATAAGGGTTCTATTTAAAAGCACGTACTTTAAACTTGGCTTTATGCAAGGTGACTTATACACATTTGTACAGAATAGTCCAGAAGGAGTGGGGATAGGTCTGGGAGGACTTAACTTCTGTTTCCCAAAGTCTATGTGTGGAGAGAGGTCATAGCTAACAATGAAATTTTAAGGAAGAAGGGATGCAGGGCTAGAGAGATGGCTCAGTGGTTAAGAGCACTTTCTGTTTCTGCAGAGGACTCAGTACCTACATGGCTGGTTCTGATGCCCTCTGCTGGCCTCCACTGACACTGCATGCACATGGTGCACATAAATAAATGCCGGCAAGGCATTCGCATACAGAAACTAAAAATAAGTATATCTCTTTAAAAGAAAGAAACCATGGACATATTTCAAATCTGCCTTTGACTGTTACATCCTTAGGCCAAATCTAATGTATCAAAATGATATCCGAATCTCTTATATATCTCTGCTTTCTCAAAAGTTTTGCCTTTAAAAAAGTTATTAATACTGTAGCTAAGGATGTATGTTGTAGAGGTTTGCTGAACATGTTCAAGGCCCTGGGATCTAGTCTAGTACGTCGCTGTTTGATTTTAATTTGGGGATCACAGACCTTCTAAAATGTGCTCAAGTTCTGTTTTCATTGTTTTTACCCCTTGTTTGTGTTTTTTTTCCTCTAGAATACCGAGAGATCGAAAGACTGGTACAAAACTATGTTTAAACAGATCCACAAGCTGAACAGAGGTACCGCTTTTCATTTGTAGAAGCCGTGTGATGTTGTGGGAACTTGGTGACTGTTGGTTGCGGGCCTGTGCTCCGTTCTCTTGTACTGGAGGAGCTGAGCTCCTGCAGTTGGATTACGTTAGGCACTGGCCTGCCTGAGTCTAGCCATGTGCCTTCAGCACACAGGTAGGAGGGTTGCACCTGTGCCTGCCTCAGCTTTGGAACTTGAGGTCAGCTTGCAAGTCCTCCCTCCCAGCTCCTGCAGTGCCGGAGGCTGAGCCTCGCACTCCATCCCTGCTCCTTTACCTATCTGCCTGAGGAACAGACAGCTCCATCTCCACCTGCTTACAGCTTTCAGTATACCTGGTGTCAGCCCATGACTGCCTTGTGAGAAGATCACGTTGAGCAAAGCCCTGAACGGGGAGTTAAGAAAAGTGTTCTCCCCTGGAGGCAGCCTCCAGGCACTTAGGTGGATCTTGTATCTTTCTGTGTCAGTCCTGCTTCCAGTCCTCTCGAGGGTCCCGTGAGCATCCAAATGGGAACACCTTGTGAAGCACAGTGCATTGTGCATCTCTGAGGCTATCCTGGTTCAAAGTAAGCTTTCCCATCTGGAAATCAGAGCTTGGCAGGTAGAGAATCGGTCACGAGCTGACGTACCAGAGCTGCTCAGGTTGAAAGAGGTGCTTACAGATTGAGAGCTACCCCTCAGCTTTCAGTGAGTGAGCCAGCATGATGGCAGAAGCCCAGGCTAGTGCTTTGGCAGGTCAAAGCCCTACCAGCTCAGCTCCCATCGCTCTGTCTGTGCTGCCAGTCACCAGACAGGCAGGCATGTCGCTGTACTACAGGAAGGGTGGCACTCTTCCTGAGAGCAGAGATCCTGTCTTTGTGCCCAAATCCAGTCTGGCCGCCTGCCATGAAGAAGTGGCCTCCTGATTAGTGTTTGCACCTAAGTCACAAATATCCAGCGTCACTGTTAATTAACTTCTGCTGGGTTCAGAATGATCTACACTGTTCCTGAACACTGAGTGTTTAGCATCTCTGAGTCAAGAGTAGATTTGCTGAGGTCCAGTGGATAAGCTCCATCCACCATGGTGGTGATGCTGGGGCTCCATAGTAGAAGTCCCTTCATTTCTTCCAGTCCTCTGTGACTCTCCTACCTTCAGACCTGCCTCTAGAAGGCTAAATGCCGGGGTGCATACATGCATATGCACAGCACATTCTGCTCCAGGGCACCAGTAAGCTTGTGTCCTGCTTATTAACGCAACTAAATCACAGATTCTAAACAAAAGTGCCTAGGGCACCTGAAAAGCTTAAGATTCACTTGTTCACCTTGATTCTAATATGCACAAAATAGCCTTCGATTAAAAGAAGTCACTTTAGGATAGTGTTTTCATTTGTCGTATTTCATACCTCTGACCTAAAAACTGTGAAATTTGAAACTTTGTGTCAAGTGATTCTTGTACACTGGAGCCAGTTTCTATATACTTTTTTTTTTGATGTGTCTTTAATTCAGGCAAAAAGACTGGATTTTTTTCTCTCATATCATTAGTGAAGCTTATTGTGTCCCAGGATTCAAGGATTATAAGTTGTGTGGTTTCCTACTTGTTCTTTTTCTCCATTTGTATCTTCCTCTCCCCCTCCCTCCCCCTCCCCCTTCTCTCTCACTCTTTCTCCATCTGATCCTCTGCCTAGACACTCCTGAGGAAAACCCTTATTTCCCTACGTACAAATTCCCCGAGCCTCCAGAAATCCTGCAAAACTCTGAAGGTACCATAAGTTTAGACAGCGCATCTGTTTGTCATAGCGTTAAATTAGTTCTTAGAGTTCCATTGTAGGCATACGGTCTGGCTTTTAGATTTTGTTTTCAGTAGTCATTTCAGCCAGCGAGCATTTTATTTTACTCATTTGCATGGAGTGCTATATTAAAATAACTAAGTTCTTTCTAATTCATTAATCTAAGTGTGATGCCTGTGTGCTTTAATAATAACACTAAAGTAGATGATCATTGGAAGGTGTCGGCCGGGGGTTAAGCGTTTCCTCCACTTGGTGGTGGATAGCTTCAAACCCACTGCTTTTCTCTGCTGCAGAGGACAACCCTTACACTCCTACCTACCAGTTTCCTGCATCTACTCCTAGTCCTAAGTCAGAAGGTAATCACAGGGAAATGGTGTGCTTCCTTCTGAACTGGTGCTGTTGCTCCTCTCTCACCTTGGGGATTTTGCTAGCTGCTAAGGAAAGCTCCCTCTTCATTTGCCTCCCTTTAATCTTTTGTTTTGTGATGTTGTCTCAGTCCTTGTTAGCTGCCTCTCCATGTGATATTGTATTCCCTGCCCCTGTAGGGTTTACATGGCTTCAGGAGTAGCCTTCACAGCTTTCTCATGCTCTGGATGTGTGAGTGTGGGAAAAGCTGCTGTACCTGGGGTGTCACCTAGAGTACTGGTGGCTAGGCAGTGCCTTCATGAAGCCAAGGAGGGAGACCTGCTATCAACAGTAGAAGCTTAGCAGTTTCCCACACTGCACCTAATGGTCACTGGGTCTCTCATGCCATGAGTCCTCAGCGTGTCTCTCTTTGATTGGGAATTCCTGAAGAGGGATACACATGTGTAAGCATCAGTCTTGGTAAGATATGTCTTGAAAAGAAGATTTGGACCAAGCTAGGAAACGTTTCATAGAAGAGCTAGACGGGAATTTGACCTGATATGGAGAATGGCTATATGTGTATACTGGAGATATCCTCTTTTTCGGGGATGGGAGTAGAGGGTACAGGTGTCAGAGACAGTTGTAAAAAGTGAGTGAGGAAAAGCATCTTGGGAAAAATCTTGCCTCTCCCATGGGATTGGAAGATGGCCTGACGTCTGTCATAGGCAGGGCCTTTGGCTTCCTTCATCTGCTTGGCTGTGATCGCAAGGCAGGGTTTCATGACTGGATATCAAGCACTTATGTCACTGGTCACTACACCTTACAACTCTGCTGACAGAAGCGTCTGCTTTCTGTAATATGTGAAGTCTGGCCACAAGAGGAGGTAGGGCATTTTGCCCAGAGGTGTAAACAGTAAGAGATAGCAAGACAGCTTGTCACACATATTTAGAAGTGGATATGTATGTGGATATGTGTGTCTGTGTATATACAGATTATTTTCAGAGACCAAAAAAGGAAGAAATGTCCTTAAAAGAATAAAAACTTAAAAAAAATAAGTTTAACATAAAAAAATTTCATAATGATGAAGGCAATTAGACTTCAAGACACGTTTCAAAGAAGTTGACTTCCCTAGAGATCTTTTAAAAATAGGGTAGATCTATCTCACGCCCCCATCTTGCCTAGATGACATGTCTAGCATATTGCTGGTGTATTTAATTAGATAAAGTCTTTTTACAAATGTGAAAAACACGTGGGAGCATCTTTAAAAATTACTGGCTTTAATATTTTTCTTTTTTTTTTTTTAAACATTCATGAGGTGTTCTGGCTTTCTGAATCCGGTGTTTTGATGTGTTTGAGCTTCTGTGAGCACCTACAGCCCTCCTTAGCTCTGTCCGTGGTGCCATTCCTCACAGGGCGCTTCAGGCTCTCTGCCAGGTACTCACATGCACTGAGATGGTAGAGGTGCATGCCTATAATCCCAGTGCTCAGGAGGCTGAGGCAGGAGGATTACTATGAATTAAATACTGAATTGGGCTACATATTAAGTTCTAGACTAGCCAGGGCCACATAGTGAGACCTTTCAACAGGAAGGTAGGGAAAGAACGAGGGAGGAAGGGAGGGAGAGTTTATCTGAGAGAAAACCTACAAATTGGAGCCTTAGGTCTCATGGGGGAATCTTGTTAATGCTACTGTTGATTTATGGTCTTGTAGTTTATAATTTGGAAGAAGGATTATCTGGAAGAAGCCTATTCAAGCCTACCTGAGGGCTAGAATGTTTGTCTAAATTGTAGTTGTTGATGCAGTATTTTTTTTAAAGATGACACTTTAAAAATGAAATGTCCTGAACAGCAGGGGTCCTGCGAGCATGTGTTTATGCTGGCTTAGAAACCTTCCATCTCCATGAAAGAATAAGTAAACTTCTGGCCAGATGCTGGAAGATAAACAGGATGACCACGTCTTAATGAGGCTTACATGTACTTTGAGGGGGGGGGACCCTATAAGTTACAGCAAGGAGCAGTCTGCATCTCATAATCCTTAAGAGAGCTTGGTGCTGCCCACACCTCCATGTTACTCCCCTCTGAAAGGCAGCCTTTCTGCTTCTCCAGGTTCTGCTGTAAGAGACAGCAGTGCTGGGTTTGCCATGCTACAGAGGGGTGACTGCCACTCACTGAGCTTCCACCCAATACCAGAGCTGCGTAACTCCCTCTTCACCCAAGATACTTACAAGCTACTCTGCTGCACACATAGGAAACATTTACTGATAATAAATCATAGAGAAATTCATTCTAAAATAATCCTTCCGCATGCATGCACTTTTACCAGTTATTAAAAATTAAAACATTTTGGGGCACTAATTTGCAAGGTGCTTGCTTATTTATTTATTTATTTATTTATTGGCAGAGTCTCACTGTGTAGCCCTGGCTGGTCTAAAACTCATTATGTACATCAGGTTGGGCCCCAAACTCACTCACAAAGATCTGCCTGTGTCTAACCTCTCAAGTGCTGGGATTGAAGGAGTGCACCACCGTGCCCGGCACTAGTTTATTTTGTCGCAGAGTTAAATCTTAGCTGAATATTTGATACTAAGGAACATGAGCTATCTTCAGTGTTTTTCAGAGTTGCTCAGTATTTTGACATTATAGTAATCCATGCAGAGAATGAAATTTCACATAAATAAGTCATCCAAAACAGCAGAAGTGTGTTTAGAACCATTTCAGAAACTAGAGGAGATTCTGTCATGACCTCAAGCCATTTAACATTTTTTAAAAAGTGAAACTCAAGTCAGCAACTCAATATTCTAACATCACACAACCCAAAGACAGATGAGTTTGGCACTTAGATGCTGAAGAAGGGCGAGAGTAAAGTATTTAAGGTGCGATTAA